CCGGTACTCCACGCTGCCTCCGTCCCCCGCCCCGCCGCCCCTCGCAGACGAGCCCGACGCGTACTCCTCCTCGGAGGATCTGCTGGACCCCATAGGGCGCAGCCGCATCCCGGGCGCGCGGCCGCCGGGGCGCAGGAGCAGCCCGGCCGAGGTGGGTGAGGCCGCGCCGCCTCTCCGACGCGCGCCTGCAGCAGGGGTCTTCAACGCCTCCCCCGCCCCCACTCGCCCCTTTCACCCCATCCCGGTCGGCCCAGCTGTCAATCTCACCCGCTGCAGCATTCCAATCATCAAATTTTATGCTTTGCTTTCGTTTTCATTTTCATTCAAAAATTATTTGTATTATATGCATTTGGGTTGACATTTTTCTTTTCTCTTGTACATGATGAGAAAGGTACCCTTATTTCAAGTTCCCTCTATCTTCCTTGTTTTATCCCTCATGGTTTGGAGACCCCTGTTGTATGTGAACAAAATTGTTTAAATCAGTTTAGTATTCCTCTGAGGAGGAAGTAAAACAAATAGTTTCTTGATGTCAAAATTCGTTTTTGTTATACTTTTCAATGGATAATTATAGCATGATTTTTAAAAAAGTTTTACTTTGATGTTTTCGTTATGAATTTAAAATGAGTATTTACAATATTAACATTTAGAGCAGTCTTCTCCTGTACTATTAGTTGGGAATTTTGTGAATGGCAACTGGTGGAGGATGGAATGATTCTTTCTCTTGCATGAAAATAAGCATAATACGTATATATTTGGCAACATTCTGTAGGTAAAGTTCACCTGTTCACAATTTTAATGCTAACTTGTGAAACTATGCTGATAATTGTATTCTGTTATTCCAGGTGAAGCAAAATTGAGTATTTCTAGAAACTGTAGTAGTTTTGAAATTTAGTAGTTAGTTTGTTCTTTCTAAATTATTTATTTTAAAAAAGCTACTGCTGTATGGAGAAGGAATTCTTTCGTAATTCAGTTTAAAAAAGGAGAAAAGAAATGGAGATCTGGGATTAATAAGTTTTGTATATTGTAGGCTGCAGCACCACCCCCTATAAAGTCTTCAGTGAGTGATAGAATGAAATTCTTTGAAAAAGCAATGGTGGAGCAACATCAACCATCACCAAAACCAGGTAAAGTACAGTCATTACTTATGTATCATTCATTACGAAAACAATTAAACAAAAGTTTCAGTTAATATAAAAATGTAAAAAACATCAAATATTTCATCCAAAAAAAAATTTCATTTCAGAGAAAGCCTTTAGCTTTTTAAGTAAAGATGAAGTTGAAAGAATGAAACAAGAAGAAGGTAAGCATATGATGAACTATTTTGTGGCTAGGTGTTGAGTTAGTCTTCAGTTATTAGAATTTGTAACCTCTGAATTGATTTTTCTAGAAAAGAAAATTGCATCTTTGAGTAGAGATGAACTTCAATCTTGGGCACAGTTAGATGAAGAGGATGATAATGAAGATGATGATGAGGAACCCAGACCTAGTGGGTAGGTGGTTTGCAACTTAGTCATTCTTATATGTTCCTAAATGTTAAGAAAGATTTCTTAACTTGTCATTTTTGAATTGTATTTGCATGTGCCTATCTATAGCTATATATATATATATATATATATA